TAATTCATTCTCTCCTTTTGTTGACTGATAATTTTTGTAACTCTTTTATTCTCTAGATATTTCTCTATAAGTCCATTCTGTGTATCATCTTTGGCATATAGTTTGGTATAATAATCTACAAAAACTTCTTTAATTAATTTTTGTTGGGAAATTTCCTTCCCTCCAGTATCAATACTATCAATAATCCGTGTACTCTGCTTCTTCCTTAGTGTGTAAGCCAACCATCTGCCCGGTTTATTAGCGTTGCAAAATGTGTTGTGTTTCGCAAATTGTAAATTTGTTGCTGTTTGTTCCGCCATAAGCATTTGAAATTGATCTTTCAAAAGTTTTATAGCTCCTCGTATTCTTTCATCTGTTGGGTTTTTTATAAGTAATTGTTCTTTATTCTTTATTTCTGCTTCCATTTCAGATCTTTTCTTTTGTCGGTTCAATTTGTGTTTAAAGTTCATATGAATGAGTACCCCTCTCATATACGCTTTACTCGCATCCCACACGATTTCAATAGGGGTACCCTTATTCAAATTCATTTCAAAAAATTCTTTCATCTGCTTTTTAAGTTCTATTATATTTTTTTCATATCTAAACAAATTTTCATTTAATCTCCATAATCTTCTCTCAGTCTTTCCCATCTCAATTTCTATCCATACTGGGCTGTGGTCAGTTAAAGTCCTTGGAAAAATCTTTGTTCTTTTTGTTTTTACAAGTAAATCAGCTGATAGTAAAATAAAATCAATCCTAGAAAAGGATCTGTGTCTATCTGAAAAAAAAGTAAAGTCCAATTCTTTTGGGTTATGTATTCTCCAGATATCTTTTAATTCCAAATCTTCTTTCATGTCAAAAAAAAGTCTGTGGTAGTCTAATCCTTGACTTTGCCGAATTCTTTTTGTCTATTTTAGAGTCAATTACTCCATTCCAATCTCCCATGATTAAAATAGATCTATAGTCCCATTGCAATATTTTAGAATGTAAAGTTTTGTAAAAATTATCCTGTTGTTGATTAGGAGCATAAATTCCAATCACTAGAATTAGACCACTTGCTGTGTGCAATTCAATTGCTATAAACCTACCACCTTCATCTGCTTCTATAATTTTAGCTGACAGTCTTTTATTTATATAAATAACCACACCATTCTTTTTTTCCAAATTTGATGCTATAAAATGTGTTCCTAATCTTGAATTTATCAGATATTTTTGATCTTGTGTTCCAACATGAGTTTCTTGTAAACAAATTATATCATTATTAAATTGTCTCAGGTATGTAAATAATTTCTTCCTTTTCTGTGGTGAATTTAATCCGTTCACATTCCAAGATAAAAACTTAATCGTCATGTAGATTTTTTTGAAGCGACGAGCAGAATTGCCAAATATCTTCCGAATCGGTAGTCTTCGGCTTTGCTCCCCCCATGGCTTCACATTCTTGTATATTGATCTTGACTCTTTTCTTATATTGTTGTGGCTTGGGCCTTTCCTGTTGTTGTTTTTCTTTAAGTTGCTTAGAAATTGCTCGAGTTATACGCTGATCTTTAGCTTCACACATCCGGGCTAGGTCCAAAGCCACTTCTCTTGTAGTCTTAGGTGGTTCAATCACAATTTTCGAAGGAAGGTCTAGCAGGGGCTCCTCCAGAAAACCTCCTGTAGCTCCCTGCATTTCGATTGCCTCTGATTCCACCTGCTTAAACTGCTCTTCCATCTCTTGCTGGAGTTGCTTCTCCTTATCACTCTCCTTTATCTCCAACACAGTAGATGTACGTGGGGATGGTGAACTCTCTTTAAAAACATTAGAGTAAAATTGTTCCGCCTTCTCAACAGTGTTTAATCGGTATCTTTCTCCATTATACCTCAAGATTATGCCAGTTGGAGCATCCCACCGAAATGGAATTTGTTGTTTTTTTAATTCATTCACTAGAAATCCAAAATCTTTTCTATCTTTTAACATCTTAGGTGGTAGCTCTTTATAAACTCCAACCTCTTTCCCCTCCACTTGCACAGCAGAGAGAAAAGACTTTTGCAGAATATCATTTCTCATTCTTCTATCTGTGAAATATATCACCACATCTCTAGGCAACTGTCTTTGTCTGGCCACCCACGAATTCACTCTGTAAATTTTATCCATTTTGCAAAAAATCTCTTCAGGACTAATCTTTAACAGCACAGCTAGGGCTTCAGCACAAATCTGTCTCAGATCTTGTCTATCGTTCTCTTTTATGCCTCTCAGCCTTATAGCAAATTCCATAGACCTGAACTGCATCATTGTAATTTCATTTTCAAATCTCTGCATTTTATTATCAGCATCAAAAATTTTATAGTCGGTTTCCTTCATTTTAACATCCATTTCTGATTTAAATTCTTCCACCTTAGCATCCGTTTTAATAATTGCTTCTGACAATCCAGACACCACTGTCATTAATTTTTTAGTCACCTTATCATACTTTTCTTGCACCACCTCTTTAATTTCTTTAATCTTCTGCTTAATTTCCTGTTGTGACTTTTCAAATTTCTCATCCAAAGCCTGAGTAATAAAATCCTTTAAGCTTTCAAGATCAATCTCTTTTTTCTGGCTCTGCTGGCTGGGAGGCTGCTGTTCAGGTTTACGTGTGGGGGATCCCCCCCCCGCTGCCTTCCCTTCCTGTTTGGTCTGCTTAGAAGCCATCCTGCCACGTAGGCTAGCTTTTCCAAAAAAGGAGATCCTTTTTCCCTTTCCTCCACCACAAAGTCCTCTAAAAAATTCCCCCAGGTTTAGTCAGATTAGGGGTGAAATTAAAATTGAAGCAAGATCAGGCTTGTTTTAAAAAGAAAGATTTTTCCTTTCTTTTCCTCCACTTGTTACAGACAGCGCAACTTTGTAGCTAGTTGAAATAACTTGCTAATCCACTCTCGCTTTCAGCTCGTAATGCTGAAGCCGGGCGCCATTTTCAAGCAACTTTCACACATCCACTCTCCTGCTTTAAACTTAATCACAGGGCTAGTAATACTTGCAGTTTCAAGTTGTTATTCCACCCTGGTTGTTTAAGTTTACTTTGTTTTAAGTAAAAAGGTTGCTCCTGCCGCCTTGCTCTGCGCTGGGCAGACTCGTCCCACGCTGTCCGGAGTCTCAGCGAGCTGGAAGGGAGCCGCGCCTGTTTCCTCCCCAGGCACAGCTGTCTGGGGGCTCACAGGGGCTCAACCTGCTTCTCGCCCACTCTCTTCCACAAATCCTTTGGATTGGGGAACTTCCGAGCTGCTTCTCTGGATCGAAGCGGCTCTAATAGGCAGCGGGGCTGGCGGTCCAAAAACGGGACCGTCTTTCAGTGACAGGAAGCAAACCGGAAGTCCCCCATTATTTTCTTAATAACTTCGTCTTGCGTTGGCATTTTCTCATTTTTCCAATTTTAGGCAAAATGTTTCACACTATTGTGTAAATATTTTATCTGGATGTACACAGTGACATTTTTGCATCCGACACTCATTGCAAACTTGATGGTTAAAATCATGTTTGTACCTGTCCACTGGAAACCACATCTTTAATAGGTCAATAGGTCAATTATTGTCCAATTAGTTTGCTAGATATCTCTTTTAAGCTTTATGCCAGATATCTTCTGAATAAATTAGAAGATTGGGAGGAAGAAACAAAATTCTTCTGTCCAAAACAGATGGGATTTTGAAAAGGACACCACACAGTAGGTCATGGCATCACACTGAAGACTGTTATTCAGAAATATACCAAAGGACATAGAAAACAACTTTATGTTACGTTTATTAATCTTATATGTGACTTTGATTTAACATTTAACATTAAATGTAAGTTAACTAAATAAAGACCTAGCAAGGACAAACATCAATAGGTGACTTCTCAAATTAATAATTGAATTAAATACTGACATTTCAGCTAGAGTAATAATGGTCCCACAAGGGACCTTGTAAGACCCTATTTATTTGGAGAAAGGAGTCACATAAGGCTGTTTACTTTAGGCCTTCTCCCCACTGCTTATCTAAGGCTGGAGAAAACACTACCTTCTATCATTGGTAGATCTTGTATGGTTAGGGAATTATAAGAAATTAGAAACTTTCCAGAATCCCACTTTGCCAAACTCTGTTTTCTTCATTGCATAGTTGGGAATCAATGGAACAAACTTTTGTCATCCACCACACAAATGTATTCCCTACCACCTTTGAATAACTCATCTCTTGGAACTGAGAAAATATTAGAGCGAGGCTTTACAAAAGAGATGCCAATAAAGATGCCACTACAGTAGTCATCCAAATTTTAATCTTGGTAACATCACCATAAAAGACATAGAAACCTCTCATAGTACCTGATTAATATTTTCAGTTCCTTACTGAGAAAGTCTCTTACATCCCTTCACCCACAAACCATGACCTCAGACTATCTCAAAGGAAGATTTTTTAAAAATACTCTGTTATACCCTATCTCTCTCCTTGTGGGGTTCATCAAGCGTCAGATGTTATTTATTATTATTTCCACTACCCCATTTACAGATCCAGGCCAAATTATTGATGGTAGGTAAACTCAAGGCCTCATGTCTTGAACTTGAACAAAGTTGTGTTTCCAACTGTTAGTCAGATTGCTACTTTTGCTCTGTTGTAATGTAAACTTAGAAAAATACTTAAGTTCTTAGTTACAACTCACTTTATCTTTCTTATGCCTAACACTCTTTTTATTACTTCATTTTATAATCTTATGATTATTGTATTTTTGCTACATTATTTTGTTATCCTCTACTTATTTACTTGAATGGGAGACTCAAAATTAATTAGTTTTTTTGATCAGGGAGTGGTTTTCTATGATTTAATGATTACATATGATCACATAAAAGAAAAGTTGAGAACCTGTTTTATATCTTTTTCTTAAATTATAATTTATTTCTTATTACTTAGGTACTTTGATAAAATAGTGAGAAGTATTACAAATAATATTGTTGAGAATTATATGTTGCCCTCATTTAACAAGGCTAGCTTTATATCATTCCAAACTATAGTTAAACAAAGAAAATAATACGTACTTCTGCATACTGAATAATTGAAGAAGAATCATTCTTTCCTGGTTGCATTAGAAGCGATTTCATCTCTTCTGTTTCAGCATAATCCACAGGTTTGTGACCAAATATATTACTAGTAAAAGAAGGAAAGGTAAATTTTAAGTAAACAAGGGATGAGACTAGATTACTAATCATCTGATTATAACTGCACTGTAGAATTTTTATATTCTTCAAATATTTACAAGAAAAATTGTATTAAAAAACCAATTAAATCACTAACATTTATGATAGATAGATAAAGAACAGCAAAGAAATATAAAAAGGATGCAACACATTGAAACTGCTCACTTTTAACTAGCAGGTCCGTTTAGTGATCTCATATTATGCACTGACCAGAATTTTTTTTTTTTGCAATTTTTTTTTATTTTTAAACAAACAAAACATAAAACATCCTTCCTCCATTACAATTTCAAGCAGTGTGTCGATCGGTTACAAATCCCTTGTGCTTCTTCCCCATAATCATATTTTACTAATTATCTAATTTCTCATATTATCAACCTGATATATACTGTATCTTTATATCATTATTCTCATTTGTCATTCATTTAACAATGGCATTATCCTTCCAAAAAAAAAAATTATTTTCACATATTATATTCTAACATTCATTTTACATTTCATATTTCATTTCCATGTTTTATTATCTAGCCATTGGTAAAATAAATCCCATATCTTATAATATTGTTTATCTTCTTGTTCTCTAATTTCAAATGTCAATTTACTCAGTTCAGCACATTCCATGATTTTCTTAATAACTTCATCTTGCATTGGCATTTTCTTGTTTTTCCAGTTTTTAACAAACACAATTCTAGCCGCACTGACCAGAATTTTCAACATGCTGTACAGATAGATTTCGACTTACAACCATTTGTTTAGCGACCGTTCAAAATTACAACAGCAATAAAGAAGTGACTTATGACCATTTTTCATACCAACAATCATTGAAGTATCCCCAAGGTCACATGATTAAAATTCAGATGCTTGGCAACTGGCATGTGTCCCAGGGTCACTTCTTGTGACGTTCTGAGAAGCAATGGGAAATCCAGAGTCATTTAACAATGGTGTTACTAACTTGACAACTGCAGAGATTCACTTAAGCAACTGAGGCAAGAAAATTCATAAACTGGGACAAAATTCACTTAACTGTCTTGCTTAAAAGAGATTTGGAGCTCAGTTGTGGTTGTAAGTCAAGGACTACCAGTAATGCCCAAATCAGTGGAGCTGATTAGTTAAGTATGTTACCATGAATTTTCTTTCCTCTTTCTTTCCTCTTATCATGGCCATGCCTGCTTTTTTTCGAACATATTTTTGCAGCTTATTTGCAGGAAAATATACAGCTCCAAAGAAACTACCACATACATTGTGGTATACTCTTATCCATCTGTTATTGTGTATTCCCAGGTATAAATAGTTTTCTGTGAAATTGGTGGCTTTACCACATTCCCTCAGCTTTGACTGGCATTTCATTTAACTGGTTTGCTTCCTCCAATGATCATTGTAAAGAAACTTTCTTGAAGAGTTTCAGTCTTCCAAATCAAATGATTCTAAAATTTGATAGGGCTATAGGGAATATTTGCAAAGGTACTTGAATGGTACCAAGTAATAAAAAATAACTTGAATGACTATTCTCTCCACTTAGCCATATCATTGGCAAGGTCTTCAGTATTCTAATAAACAATTGCCATGTCCCCCAAAGTTTAAATTAATTTAAAGTAAATGGATTATTTACTTATGTTTCTACCAAACTCAGTATTGTCCCTTCATTTTGTTACTCAAATTTGCTCTATAGATTGAAAATAATAGAAAAAAATTAAATATTTTTAATATAGATATAAGATGGAGGAAATCTAGCTTGGTAGTCATACATGTGAAAAGGAGAGTAGCCAGCCAATAAAACCCATTACAAAGGACAATGGCAACTCTCCTCTTTCAAATGTTTCTAGCAGGGGCTGAACAGCTATTTCTTGAGAATGCTTTAATTCCTGCACAGAGCAAGCATTGAATTCAATGGCCCTTCCAACTGTATGATTGTAACGCAATTTGTTAAAAGGAGTTTTGAAGAGGTCTCTATAAAAAGGCATGGGGGAGGTGGGGGGGGAGGAATAGAGACAGCATTAACAATTGGTGTTCATTAACTGAATCAGTTATATTGTGAATAGCTTTTCTGTCAAATGAGGCTGATACTTCAAGTGTAACTATTTCTATTTATAAACATAAAAGGAAACATTCTAAAAGTTTCAGGCCTGTCAGGTTACATTACATTGCATCCAAGTTCATTTCTGCGCATTCAAGTATCTTTTGGATCACTATTTCCTCTGATGGTGTATTAATGACTATGACTATAAAATGACTATGGAAATAAAGGAAAGAGAAGATTTAGACTATTACAAAGTATGGAATAGAGTATATAAGTGGCTAGAAAACAGAAACCTAAATAAGAAATAGGAGTTTGAATTAAATATTGACTAGATAATAATTAAAGTTATCAATTACTGTTAAAGTCAAATTAAAAATTATGTAAGTTTAATGTAAATATATATAACTAATATGGTTAAAATGACTGTTATAGCAGGGGTGAAAAGCTCCCAGTTCGGACCGGATCGGGCAATCTGGTAGCGATGGGGGCGGGTAGTTTGGAGAATCGGTAGCAAAAATCCCTGGGCTCATGCCCACCCAATTGCCCAGTCGCCTGCTTGCCCGTTTGTCGCTTCTTTCCGCCTTGCTTGCTTTTCCCGCCATTCAGCGCTTCCACTTCTGCCAATCACTTTTCCCGACACTCCTGGCGCTTCCGGCCCACCCACCCCATCCCCGGCCTATATAAATTCTCCTTTCTATGCGGCCCAGCTACTTCGCCCAGAAGTTCGCCTGGCTGCTTGGACCTCACCTTGCCTCACTCGGACGCCTCGCCAACTGCTGCTCACTCAAAAAGGTAAGCATTGCCGGTTGTGGCCTAGTGTGCCGCTCCCCCAATCCCCGGACTCGTGTAGTTTGCGCAGCCACCGGGGATCATTTGCAGGCCTCGTGCTACCCCCCCTGGTCCCCGGGTCCCCGTGCTTGCCTGACTGGCTTGGCTAAGCCGCCTAACTAACCACCCACCTTCCCCCACAGCCTCCAGCTTGCTTACCTTCACACTTCGGACCAAATCCAGAGCCACTGGTCACAATGCCTGCCTTGCTTCGCTTGCTGCAATTGATTGCATCAGCAAACAACTGAATCTGCCTGCCTGCAATCAACGGTGAGCAACTCAATCTGCCTGCCTTGTCCCTTCAATTGGGTAAGTAACTGGGTTTTTTTTCCCCTTTGGGAGCTTTAAAAAATAGTTAATTGGGGTTTTTTTTAGGAGTTTTTTTTTTTAGACATAGCCATTTAAAGTTTAGGAAGTTTTAAATTTAGCTGCTTTTATCGAAAAATAAAAATAAAATAAAATGATAAAATATTTTTTTTTTATTTTTATTTTTTTTTAATTTTGATTTATATGCCGCCCTTCTCCGGAGACTCAGGGCGGCTTACAGTGCGTTAAGCAATAGCCTTCATACTTTTGTATGTATATTTTATACAAAGTCAGCTTATTGCCCCCACAAACTGGGTCCTCATTTCACCTACCTTAGAAAGGATGGAAGGCTGAGTCAACCTTGAGCCTTGGAGAGATTCGAACCAGCAGTAAATTGCAGGCAGCTGTGTTAATAACAGGGTGCTTTAAACCACTGTAGTACCAAGGCTATTTGTGCAGCTTTCTGAGATTTGTTGTGTTTCTGTAGTGTTTCACTCTAACTACACAAACACACACAATCTCACAAAGCTGTATGTGGCATTTTGTGTGGAAAAAGTGTGAAAGTTGGTTTTTGGGCTTTTTGTGGCTGTGTGAGGTTGCTGCTTGTTGCAGGGGCCATTTTGGGTCAGGCGCAGCAGCTTTTACATTGTGGGTGAGTCTGTTGTATTGTGTGTGTGTAAAGTGTGAAAGTAGGTTTTTGATGCCAGTGTCTCAGCGCTGACATAGAAAAGGGAGGATGAAGCCTGAACTTTTGCCTGCTAAATCCCTTTGAAGTTTCGGTCTCCTTGGAGATGAGGAGGGGGGAAACATTCCTGTCAATTGACGGGAAAAGGAATCAGGAGAGTGACTTGGAAGATAGCCAATGAGAAGCAGAGAATTGGGGATCGGAAAGGGAGGGATTGGGGGGCAAAGGTCAGTACTGACCACGAAAGAGCCAGGATCCGGTTGCTGTACTTGAATAAAGAGAAAATTTCCTTAAAGATGGGCAGTTTGGAAGTTCATTTATTTTGAGTTGGCATCGAAGACTGACATTTGGGCTTTTTGTGTGCTTTTACATTGTGTGTCATCAGCTAACAAAGCTTCTGTTTTTTCTTTTTGCAGTAGCTGCCGCCTTTAACAGGAAGGATGAAAAGGCAATAGACTTTGATGGGTTTCTTGGCCAAGAAACCAAAACTCAAACAACAACCAGCAGAAGTGGAACAAAAACCATCCCCAGGGCCACAAGCACCACCACTTGAAACTGGAGAAAGCAGCAAATCAAGTATAGAGTCACCCGCCGCACCTGAAATCAGAAGCATTCTTCCAGACTGCTGGACCATGCAACAGTACAGCTACTTTGTTACAGGAAAAATGACGGACTAGAACAAGCTCTTCAGTGCAGGAAAGAGTTTATTTGTGCAAGGTTCAAACAGTCCAAAGACAGTGAAAAGTCTGAACAGTGATGGCTGATTTCAACCAGATATTTATACAGTATAAAGACAAAGTTATTACGAAGAGTGCAACATTTCACACGTAGAAGTTACCCTTTAATCTATCTCTAGGAAAGACATAACAGCTTGGTTCCCACAGGCTCAGGTTCTCAGCTCCGGAGCTCAAGACATAATAAAAGAGGAGATAAGGGGCTCAAAGGCGCCTCAAGAGCAGTAAAGAGGACAGTAAGGGAAGCAGTATTTCTTCTCTAGAATCTACATGACATTTGGGGTGTAATAAACATTAAACAACAGGATATATCTGTTTAGGGTCAGTTTGCCCTTTTACAATGGTGTACCTACGTCAAATACCGTTTGTTAATTCAGCACCTT